TAATACAGAATAATGAATATGATGAACAATTTAAATGAACATAAGGATTTTATCTCTAAATCTAATAAATTATTGATCCAAGTTGTTGATTTCATTAATGTTTCACTTAATATTTACTAAATATCAATATATGTTATTTTTTTCTTCTAAGAAGTTTGTATGTTTTGGGACCAGCAGTTAACGTAACAGCTATGTCGCTGGATTCCCATGTAGTCAACCATGGTTCGAGTCCCAGACCCAGTGGCTTAAACTCATGCCAGGCACATGTGCGTGTGTGCCCAAGATCCCGAGAGGAGAATGGAGGAGAAGTGAGTGTGACGTGGCCATCCTCCCGGGGGGGTGATTTCTTGCTTTCTGTCTCTCTGTCTCTGTCTTTTTGGTGAGCACACCCACCCTATAGCAAATGACATTCAGTATACCTTTTACTTTTTGAACTGAGCAAAGTTTGCAAATGAATGGAAACATATTTCTGAAAATTATGCCCACTGAAGTCTATTTAGTCCCTATCTGAAAATAAACCTAGCAACATTCATTTACTACTTGTAGTTCCTAGTTTTGTGCTTATGTAAAAGTAAAAACTTCTGAGATATATTTAATACAGAATAATGAATATGATGAACAATTTAAATGAACATAAGGATTTTTATCTCTAAATCTAATAAATTGATCCAAGTTGTTGATTTCATTAATGTTTCACTTAATATTTACTAAATATCAATATATGTTATTTTTTTCTTCTAAGAAGTTTGTATGTTTTGGGACCAGCAGTTAACGTAACAGCTATGTCGCTGGATTCCCATGTAGTCAACCATGGTTCGAGTCCCAGACCCAGTGGCTTAAACTCATGCCAGGCACATGTGCGTGTGTGCCCAAGATCCCGAGAGGAGAATGGAGGAGAAGTGAGTGTGACGTGGCCATCCTCCCGGGGGGGTGATTTCTTGCTTTCTGTCTCTCTGTCTCTGTCTTTTTGGTGAGCACACCCACCCTATAGCAAAAAACCTCTCCAAAAAAAGAAAAGAAAAAGTTTGTATGTTTCTAGGGAAACACAGATACAATTAAGTATGGTCTTTCTATTTTGTCTCACTTGAACTACTTATTATTCTGTTAAAGAAAACAAAATTTAAAAAGTCTGTATGGTGGGGCCATCAGGTAGAATGATGGTTAAGGTGGCTAGATCCCATGTGCACAACTGTGTAGTTAGAGTACTGGATCCAGTGGCTTGAAAAACACACTAAATGTATGTGTATGCAAGTGTGCCCAAAGTCCTAAGACAAAAATGAGCAAAAGGGACTGTGGTGTGGTCATTCAGCCTGGAGGGTATTTCTCATTCTATCCCAACAGCAATGCACATACTTGATAACAAATTTTAAAAACACAACAAAACAAAAACAAAAAAGCCCGTGTGCTTAAGTCTGCAAAGGTAGCAAAACACTACTCTTTTAACAAAATAGTTGGACATGATTTTTATACTCTTACAAAACAGTATGAACACACTGAACCTGATTTCAATTTTTAACTATACATCAAGAATGGAAAACACTTAAATTTTGGCTTTTTCTCTGATTATATTGTCCTTATTTTTCTGTTTTTGAATTTCAACAAGGACCTTGAATTGAATTAGTATATATAAAATCAAGAAAGTGCTTATATTAATATTTTTAGTTTAGGTACTAAAATAAATAATCTGCTACAAAAACATTTTTATAAAAGTGTGATATTACATACTAATAAAATATATAAATTTGATTTCTAAGAAGACTTCAACTTTCTTAAAAGGTAGAAAAGTTTTTTTCCTGTACAAGGGCTCTCCCTACTGGTGAAATGAAGAATATGCTTATTCTGACATATCTGAAGTCATTGTATATTTTCTACTAACACTAGAGGGCAGGGTGATGACTTATAAAACTCAATTTAATTCATACGTTCATTTTGTATACAAACATTTTGTATTTTATATTCATTTATATTTCCTTTTTATTATTTATTTAATTTATTATTATTTTTGTATGTTTGCTAAAAGGCATGCATACTCAACAGAGAGAAAAAGAGAGAGAAAGTGAAAAAGCAAGTCATCAGGTCTGGGACTCAAACCACGATCGGGCGTGTGGAAGTCCAGTGCCTTAACCACCATGCCATCTGCTGGCCTTATTCATTTATATTTCAGAACTACCTCAAGGGCTGTATTAGTACAAAGTGTAAGTCTCTGATCTGACTTATTAAAACTGAATGACAGAAAGACACTGAAAACGATGGCACTTGACTACTAGCTCTAATTTAATTAAAAATGCAAAGTATTTCTTAAAAGTTATATGCCTTGAAAGCTGCAGATCCTTTTTTTGCTTTGTAAAGAGGTTTTTGACTTAGGGTATGTGCACGTGCCAGAGAGAGAAACAGAGACAGTGAGAGGGAAAGTAAGAAATCACCCCAGGGAAGATGACCACGACACAATCCCTTCTCTTCCATTCTCCTCCAGGAATTTTAGAAACGAACACACATGCTCTGATGTGAGTTTCAAGCTACTGGGTTTGGGACTCGACCTGTGGTCAGGGATATAGGAGTCCAGTGACGTAACCACTACATCATCTGTTAGCCCTGAAAACTGCAGATATTTAAGAGAACACAAATGTTCTTTCCAATCCCCAAAGCTTCTAACATATATGAGGCTTATAAATTGTAGTAGTGGTGGAAGAGAAACTTCTTAAGAAAATGACATTCCAGAAAGAGAGAACAGCAAGAGTAAAGTCATGGAATCTCAAAATTATAGTTTATTTGGGGTGTGCCAAAGTAATCTGGTGTGTACAGTATAGAGTGCATCTGGGAAATAGCTGAAGATGGAGTTAGAAGAGTACAGTTTGTTAAGTCATTTTTAGGAGTTGGATGTGATTTCAAAAGCAATGGGAAAGTCACTGAAGACTTGAGAGAGAGGTACGACTAGATCTATTTTAGAATAAGCAACGTACGGTGTGAATTAGAATTCTCAGGGAGAGCTTGGAAGAAAAGAGGTCAATGAGTCAAGCACACTAGCCAAGGCCTTCAATCGTGCAAAAGCACAGGGGATGCAAAGAGGAAGTCTTCTAGTGACATTTGAAAAGGCAGGAAGGACTGCAGTTGGTCAAGGGATAAAGTTTTAAGTCTTGGTAAGTAGGTAGACACTGATGTCTTTGAGATAAAGACTAGAGATTTAATCACTTTAAGTGAAAAGTACTTTCTGAGATCCAAGTAGTACGATTTATTAAATAGCTAGAAACATAGGGCTGGAACTGAGGGGAGAAGTAAGATTAAAGTTTTTAAAAAATGGGATTAAGTTTGCGACTTATGAGTCTCACTGCATTAGATTCATACCCCTTGTCAAAGTAATTGGTGTTGAGGCCAGCAGGTAGTATGGTGGTTAAGGAGCTGAACTCCTACATGATTGACCCTAGTTCAAGTCCTGTATCTATCTGGTGGCTTGCTTCCTCACTCTCCTGCCACACCATCACCTCTCCCTCTGGTGACAGTGCATGCCCTGTAGTAAAATGAAAAATAATAATAATGATAAATAAAATTAAGTATATGATTCTTCTTTTAAATACGTAATTGGTGTAAACAGGCAGCAAAAGAATATAAATTTGAATTGAACATTATATTGTTTAGGAAAATATACTTTAATCGAATGGTACCTATGTAAACTATAGACTAATACTGCACTATTACGTCTAGAGACAATATAGTCTTAGACAATTTAGATTATTAATCATTTATTCACCTTATTTATACATTTATTGGTAAGTATACAATATGTTTCATGTATGATAGGGACCTGTTAAAACATTTAAAACGTACTTATAGATACATACACACACAGATACATACATTCATGCATATTTCATTTGAAAGATGCCAAAATTTTCCAAGATATATTTAGAAGAAAGGAAAAATAAACAGGAATTTATTAACAATTAAAAAAATAAGTGAGACCAGCAGATGGCGTATAGTTACGTAGCTGGATTCCCACGTAGTCGAACATGGGTGGAGTCCCAGACCTGGTGGCTTAAACCTCATACTGAATGCGTGTGTATATGTGCCCAAAATCCCAAGCGGAGAAAGTAGGAGAAAGGATTGCACCACGGCCATCTCTCTCGGAGGGTGATACGAGCACATGTGCCCTATAGCAAAAATCTCCCTTGGAAGGAAAAAAAAAAAAAAAAAAGCCAGTAATGTCAGTGGTGATTAACTGTCATTAGTATAACTTCACATTCACAAAGGTCCTCAACTAGGTGTTCTTATCTCTACAACCTGACTGTGAAGTAGGCTGGAGCTGGTAGTAATAACAACTGTAATAGCATACAAGAATGTAACATGCAAATATAATTTATTTTCTAGTGTTCACCAACTTCCATCTCCAACCCCATTTGTAGAATTAACCAGATACTTTACATACTCTAACTTAGAAACTTACATTTAAAATTAGAGCTTTCCTGGCCTGAATACACTAGATTAGAACACTGTTAACTGGATTCTCTTAAGATTTTTTGAAATACAGACCAAAAAAATCTTCTTCCATTATGAAAAGCACCCAATCTGGTCTAGTCATATAAATTGGGAGTCATAAATGCTTGTTAATTATTACACAAAGTTGAGAACCTGAGAAAAAGCCCAGATTATTATAAATTTGAACATTCAATCATGAACTAGCACTAATTTTGCTTTCATAAGCTCTATTAAGTGAAATTCCATTACCAAAAGACAAATAGTCATCAAAGTTTTTCAGTTCTTAAATAATTCCCAGACTCTCATTCAAAAATTTTTCATTATCTAGATTTAGGATCTAAAATATTCTTCTCCATATATATAAAGGTTGAACCCACAAGGTGAAAAATCTTGTGTCATTTGTGTTTTATAGGCTAAAGACTAGAGCCTCAACGTTTCTCAAATATGCAGCCTCTTGCTTCTATTCATTTTGGTATTTTCAACAGAGTTGGAGTGAGTTAAAAATAGAAATAAGTTACACAAATACTTACTTGAACCTGGCAGGTGAAAGAGGAGTTGGTGGAAACATTCCTGGTTCAAAAGAATCAAAATAAGTTACAGTCCAAGAAAAGCTGCAACAGGAGAACCCAGCAGTCAGGGATATTATAAACAGAGTCCAGAATCCTTAATGGAAAGAGAGAGGGAAAATTAAATGATTAATACCTAAACAGTTTAAATTAAACCAACTTCATGCTCAGAATATCATATTGTATTTCTGATCTTCTGAACTGTGTGTAATCACTATAATATTTGAAATATAGGCTTACTCATGTAGAAGTGTAAATTAGACACAGCAACTAGAAGTCACATCAATGAATATTTTAATTAAATGTGGAAAGGAGAGCAAATTCAATTTGAGCCAAAAAAACATCGCAAGCTAGTCATGATGGCACACACATAGTACTATGACTTAGGAGGCTGGACCTGGGGGTTTGAGTTAGGTTCCTGGGCCACCCTGAATAAGAGGGGCTGCTGTGTATAACTGCATTCCCATATTCCAAGCTAATCAGAATGCAGGGGTGGGAGATTCCCAACAAAGTAACCCTATCAAAAATACTTAGCTCCTTTCTCTGGCTTTCACTCTCATATAAAGGAAAAAAGCAGGTAAAGAATACAATACCTTCAGTTGTATAAAATTCAACTATAGAAAAAAATGACTTAAATAATTCATTCTTTTTTTGTTTTGGAGAGGTTTTTGCTATAGGGCGCGTGCGTTCACCAGAGAGAGAGAGACATAGAGACAGAAAGCGATAAATCACCCCCCAGGGGGGACAGTCACACCGCAATCCCTTCTCCTCCATTCTCCTCCTGGGATCTTGGGCATGCACGTACATGCGCCCGGCGTTAGTTTTAAGCCGCCGGGTCTGGGACGCGAACCACGGTCGACTACGTGGGAGTCCAGCGACATAGCCATTACGCTAACTGCTGGTTCCCAACAATTCATTCTTAAATTTTGTCAGTTTACAGACCAGCAGTTGGCATAAGGGCTATGTCGCTGGACTCCCATGTAGTCGACCACGGTTCGAGTAC